ACAAATTTTATGTCAGTTAGAAGATTAACTCTCTCTCTCTCTCTATCTCGATAAAAAGGAACAGTTCTTTATGTGTTTGTATTTAAAATAAAAAATTATTTCCAACACAAAAGGTAGATCTATCTATATGCTCAAGTCAATTTAGGACCTATACGGAAAGTCGATGCTGACCAACACCCTGCGTAAAGAAATATCTCAGGTTATTAGGATCCACTTCAAGAGAAAGAACTGTTAGTAATGTAAGGCTTAGTGTAGTATATACCACGAACTTTGCATTGAAAATCTTTAGCGGAATCTACAATTAATTAAGCTAACAAGTTTCTTTACTGAGAAAACTCAATATTTCTCTCAAAACAATATTTACTTTTGTTCTAACAGAGGACCATTAGAGTCTTTTTTTACGAGTCATTTTCTATGTCAAAGGTTGACGAATTGGTCAGAAAAAGGCTTATGTAATATTCAAGTCCAGCAAGTATGATTGTATGAAGAAAAAATTAATGTCACTAGTATTATCAATATAATATGTAAGTTTAATTTTTGTTTTGTCCTAAAATAGGTATTAAGAAGTGTTTGGATCCTGTTTAAATGTATTCATTTCTCTTTACTTACACTTTAAGAAGCGGAAGCGAGGCCTCTACCCTTCAGAAACTCCTGTGAGTCGGTCTCTTCTAAGACCGAGGGCCGAAGAACTTGCCCATACCTCCCACCTCATTTACCCTCTTCCGTTTGAGAATCACCACACCGTACCCTTCCCCTCCCCTACTAAACACTCTGACGAAAAGTTACACCTGCTCATGCTGGACACGAAGGAGTTCTACAAATACAGACCACAGAAAGCTTCGAAAACAATGTTTCATTGTTTAGATGTGTTTAGTGGGGTGCTATGGATTCATCTTGTAACGGGTCGGGGTCTGCGCCCCTCTAGGCAGTTTGACCATTTCAGAGACTTGTACTGCGTCATTGAATGTGATCACATGCACAAGGCAAGAACAGCCGTGCGGACAGGCGAACAGAGCTTCGACTGGGATGAGATTTTCGAACTGGATCTGGTTGAGAACCAGGAATTAACTTTTCTTATCTACAGCTGGGATCCAGAGTACCGCCACAAGCTATGTTACAAAGGTACGATACAGCTCAACTTACTGAAAGACGGACCTGTCCATAGCCTGGCCCTGAAGCTGGAGCCGTGTGGAACGCTCTACCTCAAGCTGCAATTCACGGAACTCAGAGACCTATTGGAGAGAATCCCCGCTCCCACCTCCTCAGGGGTGTTCGGGGTAGATCTTGAAACCATTGTCGCAAGAGAGAACTCTAGCATAGGGATACCACTTATTCTGAAGCTGTGTACTGATGAGGTGGAATCACGCGGGTTGACTACCCCTGGTATCTATCGTCTCTGTGGGTCAGCAGTAAGGAAGAGGATGCTTCGGGAAGCATTTGAAACGAACCCCTGGTTGGTTGACTTAACAGAAGAGAATATACCTGACATCAGTGTTGTAGCCAGTAAGTATGAATTAGAAAACAAACATTTATTGTGTTATAAAATATCCACTGAATGATCAAACTTTGTTATTCCTAAAATGTGAAGGTTTTTCCCCAGACGCCACCTAGTGTTCTGGAGCTGTATTGTAAATATTGTATTAGATATTCTTTCTGGACAAATACAAAATGAAAATCATATCACTTAAGATAAACATATAATTAATGAATATATTTCCAAATCTTATTTCCAATATATATATATGAATACAGATAACCGACCACACCAGTTCACACTTTTTACTCACTGGACTCAGTGCTTAGACTTCCTGAACTTAGAAGTTGAAATATGTGTTAGTTGACTCTAACTGGAAAGCTTGGGCTTTCACTATGTAAGATGTGATTGAAAGGCTGAACTTAACTGGAGTCCCCCGGTGGGACAGTGTTAAGTGTAAGGACTTACATTGCTAATATCCGGGGTCGATTCCCTGCGGTTGACACAGCAGATAGCCCAGTGCGACTTTACTCTATATAAACAAACAAAACCTAATTGGACAGCCATAGTTTTTCCCTCTGGAGGAGTTTGGAAGATATATTTGAATGGTTGAATCTTCCTGAACAGTACTCACCACTGACTTTTCAGCTACTCTTGTCTGAATTGTAGGATTTGACAACCACGCTTATCACGCACCAACGAATCAAAGATTGAAGTCTGGTGATGAAAGAAAATTGTAGCTCTAGAAATGTGAAGATGAGCAGAGAGGATAGATTGGAATGTGAAAAGTGAAACTATAGCTTCGGAAACCTAAAGTGAAGCTAATGGGACATAAGTACTGAAATATAGAAAAATAATCCTTTCTCTTTTATAGCTGTTAATACTTCATTGTTCAATCAACAGAACACAAAACACTTTGATCTTTTAGAGCTGTTAATACTTCATTGATAAATCAACAGAACACAAAAACTTTGATCCTTTAGAGCTGTTAATACCTCATTGTTTAAATAATCAATCAACAGAACACAAAACACTTTGATCTTTTAGAGCTGTTAACACCTCATTTGTTAAATGAACAGTCAACAGAACATAAAGCACTTTGATCTTTTAGAGCTGTTAATACCTCATTGTTAAATCAACAGAACACAAAACACTTTGCTCTTTTAGAGCTATTAATACCTCATTCTTCAATCAAAAATCAATAGAACACAAAACACTTTGACCTTTTAAAGCTTTTCATACCTCATTGTTAAGTCAACAATCAATGAAACAAAACACTTTGATCTTTTAGAGTTGTTAATACCTCATTGTTAAATCAACAATCAACAGAACACAAAAACTTTGATCCTTTAGAGCTGTTAATACCTCATTGTTTAAATAATCAATCAACAGAACACAAAACACTTTGATCTTTTAGAGCTGTTAACACCTCATTTGTTAAATGAACAGTCAACAGAACATAAAGCACTTTGATCTTTTAGAGCTGTTAATACCTCATTGTTAAATCAACAGAACACAAAACACTTTGATCTTTTAGAGCTGTTAATACCTCATTTGTTAAATGAACAGTCAACCGAACATAAAGCACTTTGATCTTTTAGAGCTGTTAATACTTCATTGTTCAATCAACAGAACACAAAACACTTTGATCTTTTAGAGCTGTTAATACCTCATTTGTTAAATGAACAGTCAACCGAACAT